ATGAAAGAGGATCAAAGGTGGCAGCCAAGCTTAGCATCATCCTGGAGGACATGCGGAAAGCCCATTCAGAATATGTCACAAAAACACAAGATGACCCAGGAATGGCGGAAATTTGGGCTGAGCTGGAGGAATTCTACGACAAACCAGGCTCATGCGGCAAATTGCTAGCTAGCCTAGGCGTGGAGAGCATGAAGGAGACAGGAAGATCCTGGGGCACAAGTCAAGAAAGAAGACCAGAACAGCAAGGGCCCATCGCACCAGACTATGCAAAAGTCGTAAAGCAAGTCAGGGAATGGTCTTTCAAGTTTGTCGGTACGGAAAAAACCGGTAGAGTTTTTTTAACAAGTAGTATGGTCAGCAAACATATACGGTTTGAACCTGAACCTCATTCCCCGAGTCATGGCAGAATTGCTGCAAGGCAAGGCCCTAAAGTGGTTTATTTCAATCAGCAAACACAGGACGACATGGGGAGAGTTCAACGAAAGTTTCCAAACTTAATTCTTGCCAAGGGGATTTTTCTCAAAGCTCGCCGACCAGGTCAAGCAAAGGAAAGGTCGAGCTGATAAAGGAAAACTGCACGCCTGATCTGAGGATTACCCTGAGATCATACAAGTTAGACGATCTCTAATCTCTAATGTTCCTGGCGGATGGGTATGAAGAGCTCGAGAAGGAGCGAGAAGCATTCATACAAGAAAACAAATTCTCGCGAATCAAAGCAACAGCACCACACCAAGTTACGTGTAGACGGTGCGAAGAAGAAGGCGAACACCAAGCAGCGGATCGAGTCAATGGACTCCAAACAACTATAACCACCAAAGCACGCTATGGAGGCCACCTTTTACCAATCAGAGGCCACCCAGCGCAGCACCAAGAGCCTACAGCTCACAAACACACGTCGTGAGCCCACACGAAGCATGTAGACGGTGTGGCGGTCACGGGCATTGGGCCGCAGAGAGGCGAGGAGGGGTCGCAAGGTGTGGTCTCTCCAAACTTACTGGCAAATTAATCAAAGAAGAGCAGCAGTTATCTGCAGCGGTAACGATTGGCGGAACCTCACACAAAGCTTTATAAGCGAGGAGCTGGCGGATATGCTGGCTTCTGAAGAAAAGATTACAAGTACGAGAAGGCAAGTTAGGTTGGCAGATGGCAGGTGCAGCGGGATAAGCACACAGCTCGAGGTAGAGGTGGAGTTCGGCAATAAGCGATTGCCCATCAGCGTGCTGATCCTACCAGGAGTGGTAGACTCGCTGGTCATAGGATGGAGTTTCCTCACAGGAGTCGGCGCCGAAATAAAGTGTGCACAACGGATAGCTCGAGGAAAAATTGTCTGTGGCAGTGGTGCAAATCACCTGTGAGGAATGCGATGTTGAAAAATTCCTAGAGCAGGAGCTCGCAGAGTTTCGAACAATGAGTGGAACATCCAACAAAGCCGTGCACCGAATCACCATGAAAGACGACAAGCCAATCAAACAGAGAGACTACCCGAAATATCCGAATCAAGGGGAAATCAATGCGAAAGTCGACGAGTTGCTAGAGAAGGGATGCATAAAACACTCGAGAAGTCTGTACAGCTCCCCGATTGTCATGGTGAAAAAGAAGACAGGTCTGTGGAGTCTTTGTGTCGACTTTAAACATATCAATGCCAAGTCAATAAAAGATACTTATCCGATGCCAAGGATAAATTACATTTTGAACCAGTTCAGGGAGGCGAGATACATAAGCAGTCTAGATTTGAAAGATGGCTACTGGCAAATTCCCCTAGACGAAAATAGCAGTGCCAGGAAAGGGAGTTTTCCAGTAGAAAGTAATGCCATATGGCTAGCACTCCGCCTCGGCGACTTTCCAGAGAGCACTGGATCAGGTTATAGGAACGGAGTTGTCACCACACTCGTTTGCGTACCAAGACGACATCATCGTGATCGGGCGCACTCTGGAGGAACAGAGAAGGACCCTGAGAGAAGTTTTCCGACGCCTAAAGCAGGCAAACCTCAGAATAAAACCCGGAAAAATGTGAATTCTTCAAAAGCGAACTGCTTTACCTGGGCCACCGCTTGACAAATCAAGGAATCGGCACTGATTCCATCCGGGAACTGCGCCAATACATACATCTTGGTAGAGACGATTCGTGCCCGATTTTGCTCGAATAGTGAAACCGTTAAGTGATCTATTGCGGAAAGGCACAAAATGGATATGGACTACAGATCAGGTAAAGGCAAGGTTAGTGGTCGATCCTGTGCTGGCATGCCCAGATTTCAATAAACCATTCGTGATGCAGACGGACTCAAGCGATTATGGTATAGGGGCAGTCTTGACACAGGAAACAGAAAGGGACGAGAAGGTCATTTCGTATTGAAGCCGGACCCTGAATGGCACGGAAAAGAACTATTCAACCAGCGAAAACGAAAAGGCGATACGGAAGCTCAAACCATACTTGGAAGGATACCACTTCAAAGTGGTGACTGACCATATGGCGCTTAAATGGTTGAAAAGCATCGAAAGTCCCTCAGGAAGGATAACGAGGTGGGCCCTGGAGCTCCAGCAGTATGATTTTGAAATATCGTACAGGAAGGGACAGCTTAACGTTGTCGCTGATGCACTGTCGAGACAGCCGCTGCCAGGAAGACACACAGGGAGGGAGGCGCGGTATATAGGCATGGCAGCATGGAAGCTCTGTGTCCCTCGGGAGCTGAGGAAAACCATCCGGAAAGAGAATCACGACTCACAAGCAGCTGGACACGTGGGAAGCTGGCGGCTCGATATTACTGGCCAGGAATGCATAGGGACGCCGGAGCACACGTACGAAAATGCGAGACATGCCTTAAATACAAACCTAACCAGATGCAGGCACCTGGCAAGATGCTGACGCAGATACCTGAAGAACCATGGGCAACAGTATGCGCAGACTTTGTCGAACCATTGGCAAGACCAAAGCATGGTAACCAGATGCTGCTAGTGCTGATAGATAGATTTTCAAAATGGACAGAGTTGGTGCCACTGCGAATAGCAACGGCAGAAACACTTCAAAAGGCGTTCCGAGAAAAAATTATCGCTAGATTCGGAGCCCCTAAGTTGGTAATAACGGACAGTTCAGCGAAATGGGCATTAAGCAACAATTCACAGCGCCATATACTCAGCAGAAAAATCCGACAGAAAGAGCAAAACGAACCGTTAAAACTATGAAAGCTCAGTTTGCAGGACAGAACCAGATGAATTTGAATGAGAAGTGGCCGGAGATTATGCTAGCGGTAAACTCAAGTACGTCGGAATCAACAGGGTACTCCCCGTGTTTCCTCACGCGGGCTCTAGAGCCTCGGCTGCCCAGCGCCCTGTACGACAGGGAAACCATTGGCACAGGAAAGCAGCCGGAAACGCCTGAAGATAAGGCCAATAAGAGAAGGAGATCTTCGAAATTGTGCGCCGGAACATGGAGAAAGCTGCTCAGGACAAAGCCAGGCATTACAGTTTACGAAGGAGGCAGTGGAATCAAACATATTTAGAATCCGCCACAAGGAAACAAGGAAAAGGGAACAAACTGTCCACGTCAGTGAGCTCAAACAACAAACACAAGAACTCGGAACAGACAAGCAAGGACAACACGGTCAGGCAACAACAAGCGGTGCGGACTATAGCCTCGGGCATATGTCAGAGTCTATATAGAACGCAGGATAACACGAGCATGCAACAACAAAAAGAGCGGACTATAGCGTCGGGCATATTCCAGAGTATATAAAGAACGCAGGAGAACACAAGCATGCAACAACAAAAATAGCGGATCAGTTGATGCGCCGCGTGGAATAAGGTGATGCACATGAGGCCGATCCCGAAACGGCAGCATTACGCGCCGGACGCGGAGACAAGGTTCGCGTTTATGCGCGAGGCGCTGGAAGGAGGTCATCCAGGTGGAACGGTCGGAGGGCATCACGGTTGTAACGATCCTGCTATGCTGAGGTGGCTCAACGGTGTCCAGGGGCTCGTTCCAACATTTATTTATGTCAGGAGTGGTTGCTGTAAGAGGTCGACCCGGTTCCCAGAGTATGACACGTAAGCGGGTTCAGTGAAATCGAATCGGTATGCGCTTATTAAGAATTATTTGTTACATAGGATATATATAGAGTTCGTGCTGCAGGGGCTCGTCCGCCCGTAGGTTGCCGGGGTTTTTCGTGTCGTCGTTCGGCGTCGTCGTTGGGCGTCGTCGTCCCGGTGGCGGCGGTGGCGGCGGCGGCGGCGGGTGCCCTGTGAATGAGAAAGAAAAAGCCACGTCCCTCTTGGCTATGCTTATGTCTAGGAGTATGAGACAGTTTGGAGGCCGCTTGGGTCTGCCAGTTTCGAGAAGAGGGTGGAGCCGCTTGGGTTTGCCAGTTCCGAAAAGAGGGTGTCGCGACCACGAGGGTTCGGCCTTGCCGATCTGATCGGTCTTAGTTCCGGGCGCGCAGGGACGGCTGTGGGCCTCGGAGAACCGAGTGGTGGTCAGGGCGCGTTGCGGACCGACGCAACCCGGGTGAGAACCAGGTGGGATCGGTTCGGCAGACGGCCGAGAAGCGCCTCGGAGAACCGAGTGGTGGTCAGGGCGCGTTGCGGACCGACGCAACCCGGGTGAGAAGCAGGTGGGATCGGTTCGGCAGACGGCCGAGGAGCGCCTCGGAGAACCGAGTGGTGGAGTCCCCAGAAGATCGGGTGTCACTAATGACGGTCGGTCTTGGGGTGTGGGATCCCAAAGGTCGGATATCACTGATGCCGGCCGGTCCTTAGGGGGTGGGAAGAAGGGGAAGGGGGGGGAAACAACTAACTACAATGTATTGGGTGGACGGGGTACTAGACCCTATCCCGAAAAAAGACTCCGCAGTTAACTCCCAGAGAAGTTTGCTCACTCCAAAGGGTAAGCCTTACCTTCTCCGATCGCCGTCGGCCGCAGAGTGATCTGTATGGGCCCCGGCGCCCTTTTTATATCCTCCCGGCCCTCGCCTGTGTGACTGTAGTTTCATAATCCTACAGCCATGGCCATACCGCGTGTGGCTTGTGGTGGCTATTGGTCAGTGTGACCGTTTCCTTTGTTTGGCGCGCCCGCCCGGATATTTAAATTTGAATATTTCCATTTAACTTAAATTTATTTCGGCTTCTTGCCTTTGAACTTATAATTATTTCGGCTTCTTGCCTTTGTACGGTATTGAACTTATAACTATTTCGGCTTCTTGCCTACTTAACGACTATCTATAGCTACTGCTTATGTTATTATATTTACTTTGTGCGCTCCTGAGCGTCACACCTCCCCCCCTCTTGAGAAGGCACGAAGTGTCTTATCGTGATACGGCTTCCCCCTCCAAAGATGACCTTCCACGTCTTTTGGTCGTCCATCCTAGGATACTCTGCTGTTTCCCCTTTCTCCTCCTGTTCCATCTCTCTTTGATTTCGTTGACCGCCCTGGCTGACATCGTCGCATCTCTGGGTACGATCCACCCTATCTCGTTTGTGAACCACTCCACTCGTGGCGCCTGTGCGTCTGGGCGTGCCTCTGTCTCCTGGCTTTGTGTTGCTTCCTCTGCCTGTGCATCCGCCGCTTGTGTATACATGTCCATCGGGTGTAGCTCCAGGCTGTCCCGGTCTGGCGACGGTGTCCTTGCCCGTTCTCCCTGTTGTTCCTGGACACTTCCGTCGGTCACTGCCTCAAGAGAGCTGCGAGGAACATGGGCGATCCGGGTCCGTCCGCCTCTATCGGTCGCCACGGCCGTTCTTGCTGGCGGTCGGGCTGTCTGTTGCTCCTCTGGTCGTGACTGCTCTTCTCTTTGTGACAGAGCTAGCCTGCACATTGATGGTCTGAGGCGAGTCGGTGCTGTCCTGACCCGTATGCCCGCCCCTGCTGGTCTCGCCGGTATCAACCTCGTCGTTCGCCTTTCTTGCTGCAGCCGTGTGCTGCTCTCCCGGAACTTCTTCTTTGTGACGTCGAATTTGTTCATGTTGTTGTTTTCTGAAATTAATAATACATCGTTTGAGTTACCTTTTGTTTCTTTCTTATCCCGGTTGGTTAGTTCATGGTTAGTGTCAATATACATTTTTATATCTCCAATGTATGCGCGTTTTGCTTTCTTCGATTTACAATTTTTTAATATAACTATCACCGGTGAACAAAATTTGTCTACTACCCACGGCCCGTCATATTTCGGTGCTAATTTAGCGTTGAATTTTTCCACTGCGTTGGATAGGTAGTGTGTTTTGCACCAGACGAGCTGTCCTACACTTGGCTTCCAGTCTCTTTTACGTAGGTCGTAATGGTATTTTTGTATCTCTGCTGCTCCTTCCATGTTCTCGATCGCTTCGCTTCTGATGCCTTGTAGTCTCTTCCACCTTGCTGCTACTGTTTCTGTCGCTAATCCTGACCCTTTGGTGACCTTGTCGAATAGTGCTCCCGGCAGTCGGAGTTCTCTTCCATACAGTATTTGGGCTGGGCTGAATCCCGTTGATTCGGATGTGCTGCTGTTGTATGCTAGCATTAGCTCCGGCAGATTCTCGTCCCACCTAGTTTGTTCCTCCCCTGCCATTTGTGATATCATGGTTTTTATGGTTCAATTTGTTCTTTCAGTTGGGTTCTGCTGCGGCGTATATGGCGCCGTGAATTGTTGTTGTATGCCCCACTGTTCCATGGCGGTCTTTGTTTTTCCTCCCGTAAACTGGACCCCATTGTCTGATATCAGTTTTTTGGCGCACCCACTCTGGCGATTATCCGTTCACGAAATATTTTCAGGAATGCCTCTGCCGTTGCGCTCCTTATTGCCGCGAGTTCAGTCCATTTAGAAAATCTATCCACTATCACTATTAGTGTGGTGTTTCCATGCTTCGTGCGTGGTAGAGGTCCGACGAAGTCGACACATACGGTTTCCCACGGTGCTTCGGTTATTCTTGTCAGCATTTTCCCTGCGGTTTTTTGTTGAGACAATTTGTATCGCTGGCAGCTCTCGCACGCCTTTACGAATTTGACAATGTCCTTCCGCATTCTGGGCCAAAAATATCGTTGCATAATCTTCCTCTGTGTTTTTAATATCCCCAAGTGCCCCGCTGTTGTGTTGCAGTGGTTTTCTTTAAGCACCGTTTGAATCTCGCTTTCTGAAATGCACAGCTTCCATGGTTGTCTGTCCCTATCTCTCCCGCATCTTTTGTAGAGTCTTTCTCCTTCTACTCTGAATTCTTTGATGCTCGGGTCTTTCTGCGCCTCCTCGTATGCCTCCTTCAACCAGTCGCCCTGACAGTTCGCGGACTTTATTTCTACTGGTGGGGCCCTGGACAATGCGTCTGCTACTGCGTTCAATTTTCCTTTTCGGTATCTAATCTCGAATTGGAACGGTTGTAGTCCGAGCGCCCATCTGGCTACCCTCCCTGAAGGGCTTTCTATGGAGTTTAGCCATTTCAACGCTAGGTGATCCGTCACCACTACAAATCGGTATCCTTCCAGATACATTTTGTATTTGTTGATGCTCCAGTAGATTGCCAGGCACTCTTTTTCTGTGGCGCTATAGTTTCGCTCTTCCTTGCTCAGCTTCCGGTTTGCGTATGAGATGACATGTTCCCCCTCGGCGTCTTCCTGGGTTAATACTGCTCCTATCCCCAGCTCGCTTGCGTCTGTCTGTAGCTTGAATTGTTTGTCTGGGCATGCTAGTACTGGTGCCATTGTTAAACTTTCTTTAATCTTCTCGAACGCCTCTTGATGTTCTGTCAGCCATTCGAATTTTTTTCCTTTCTTTACCAGTTCTTGTAGGGCGCTTGCTTTCTCCGTGAACCCTGGGATGAATTTCCTCTACCATGATGCCATCCCTAAAAAGCTGTGTACTTCCTTAGTGCCTTTTGGGGCTGGTAATTCTCGAATGGCTGCCACTTTCTCCGGGTCCGTCCTGATGCCTCTGTCGGTTACAATGTGTCCCAAGTATTTTAGCTCGGTTTGGAAGAAATTACACTTTTCCGCATTTATCTTTAGGTTTGCCGCTTGCAACCTTCTGAAAACCTCTCTTAATTTTTCCAAGTATTCTTTTTTGTTTCTTCCGATTACCACGATATCGTCCAGGTATGCGAACGCGAATGGCTCCATCTCTGGGCCTATGACCGTATCTAGAGCTCTCTGGAATGTGGCTGGTGCTGTCGTGAGTCCGAACGGCATGACCTTCCACTGGAACAAGCCTCGTCCCGGTACTGTGAACGCTGTGTATTGTCGACTGAGACCTTCCATTGGTATCTGCCAATACCCCGATTTCAGGTCTAGCGTGCTTATGAACTTTGCTTCTCTTAGCTGGTTTAATATAAAGTCCATTCTTGGTACCGGGTAGGCGTCTTTTTCTGTTCTTTCGTTCAACAGCCGATAGTCCACACACATTCTCCACTCGTTGTTCTTCTTTTTTACCAATACTACTGGCGCGCTGTATGGACTGTGTGATGGTTCAATCAACCCTAGTGCCAGCAATTCATCCATTTGTTCATTTATTATCGCTTGTTGTTTCGGGTTCCGTGGGTAGTATCGTTGTTTTGCCGGTCTGTCGTCCTTCATGTAAATTTTATGTGTCGTGATATTACTGGTTCCCTTCATTCCCTCGAATACTTGCATTTGTTGTTCCAGAAATTTGCTGATTTCCTCCTCCGTCGGCTCTGTATCGTCTGTGCTCTGCTCGGGTTCTATTTCTCCTTGTGTTGTCTCTGCCTCGGTGATATCTAATTCCAGGTTGCCGCATTGGATTCTTGTGCGCGTTTTGGCCAGAAAGTCTATTCCTAATAATATTCCTCCTGTCACCTGATTTAAGATGAGGAAGTCGAAATCGAATTCTTCTCCTGCGAACTGTATGTTGGTTGTAAAGTCTCCATCCGATCTTTGCTTTGATCCGTTCGCTAATGTTATTTCTGTCCTTCCCTTCCTCCATTTTCCATATTTTCTCAATTCGTTGTATCTTCTCTTGCTGATCACACTCCGTGAAGCTCCTGTGTCCACTGTTCCTTTTGCTTTTACTGGTCCGATTTTTACCGGTGCAAATATTTGGAATCCGTCACAACTTAATTGTTCACCTGTCGCTGGTATTTGTTTTTGGTCCTGAGCTACCAGCGTTACCTGCTCAGGCCTCTGGCGTTTCCCGCTCCAGCTCGGCAACATTCCGTTGTTCTTGTTCCATTTCTGCCGCATACCCAGCAAAACAGTCTTGGGGGGTTTGTGCAGGTTCTTGCGGCGTGCCCTGTTCCTCCGCATCTTATGCAGATTTCCGACGGCAAGTTCTGGTTTCCTGTTGTTATTGGTCTGTTGGTTCCTTCCATAGTTTCTATTTCTTCTACTTCTTCTGCCAACCTCAGGAATTCTGTTAATGTTTTAAATCCCGACCGTCTCGTGTAGAGCTTTATTTTACTTCTGCAGTTTCTGTATATCCGGTCCAGATTTGTCTCTTCTGAATACTCTGTAAATCTCATTAGTTTCCTCAGGTTCATTGCGTATTCCCTTGTTGGTTCTGTTTCTCGCTGCCGTAGTTGAGTGATTTGAGTTTCCAACTGTTCCTGATATCTTAGTGGCAAAAAGTATTCTAACAGTTCCTCCCTGAGGTCCTCCCATGTCCTTATCTGGCTCGGTGTTGTGTTCCACCAGTCCACTGCTACTCCTTCCAGGATGAATGGCATCGTCTGGATCAGGGCATTTTTGCGAATGCCGTAGCCTTTGGCCCATTCTTCCATCTTGCTGATGAATTCCAAGGGATTGGTTGTTCCTTGGTAGCGGATCCCCCAACTCCTTACTCGGTCTAGGATTTCCACTTCCACCTTTTGTTCCTTTCTGTCCGGTATGTCTGGAGTTTCTGATTCCTGCCGTGGTGGGGTGTTGATTTGTTTGACCCGTATGTCGATCTGGTTTGCCATTGTGTTGAGTTCCTCCGCTGGTGTGCTGTTCTGATCCGTTGCTCCTTTTTCCTTCTTGTGCTTCTCTGCTAGTACTCCTAGTCTTTGCATGATCGTCTCCGTGTGGTTTGGGTTCTTTGCGAATGCTGACAGTATCTGTCTTAGCTCCTCCACTTTTCCTGTTGTGTCTAATCCGAACTCTCTTGCGTACTTGATCAGATCCGCCTTAGTTGCTAGGTACACCCACGTCGACATAACTCTGTACCGATGTCTTTCTCTTTGCAACCACTTTAACCTGTTCGGGCGCCATGTAACGATCCTGCTATGCTGAGGTGGCTCAACGGTGTCCAGGGGCTCGTTCCAACATTTATTTATGTCAGGAGTGGTTGCTGTAAGAGGTCGACCCGGTTCCCAGAGTATGACACGTAAGCGGGTTCAGTGAAATCGAATCGGTATGCGTTTATTAAGAATTTTTTGTTAAATAGGATATATATAGAGTTCGTGCTGCAGGGGCTCGTCCGCCCGTAGGTTGCCGGGGTTTTCCGTGTCGTCGTTCGGCGTCGTCGTTGGGCGTCGTCGTCCCGGTGGCGGCGGTGGCGGCGGTGGCGGCGGTGGCGGCGGCGGCGGGTGCCCTGTGAATGAGAAAGAAAAAGCCACGTCCCTCTTGGCTATGCTTATGTCTAGGAGGATGAGACAGTTTGGAGGCCGCTTGGGTCTGCCAGTTTCGAGAAGAGGGTGGAGCCGCTTGGGTCTGCCAGTTCCGAAAAGAGGGTGGAGGCCGCTTGGGTCTACCAGGGAGGGAAAAGTGTCGCGACCACGAGGGTTCGGCCTTGCCGATCTGATCGGTCTTAGTTCCGGGCGCGCAGGGCCGGCTGTGGGCCTCGGAGAACCGAGTGGTGGTCAGGGCGCGTTGCGGACCGACGCAACCCGGGTGAGAACCAGGTGGGATCGGTTCGGCAGACGGCCGAGGAGCGCCTCGGAGAACCGAGTGGTGGTCAGGGCGCGTTGCGGACCGACGCAACCCGGGTGAGAACCAGGTGGGATCGGTTCGGCAGACGGCCGAGGAGCGCCTCGGAGAACCGAGTGGTGGAGTCCCCAGAAGATCGGGTGTCACCAATGACGGTCGGTCTTGGGGTGTGGGATCCCAAAGGTCGGATATCACTGATGCCGGCCGGTCCTTAGGGGGTGGGAAGAAGGGGAAGGGGGGGGGAAACAACTAACTACAATGTATTGGGTGGACGGGGTACTAGACCCTATCCCGAAAAAAGACTCCGCAGTTAACTCCCAGAGAAGTTTGCTCACTCCAAAGGGTAAGCCTTACCTTCTCCGATCGCCGTCGGCCGCAGAGTGATCTGTATGGGCCCCGGTGCCCTTTTTATATCCTCCCGGCCCTCGCCAGTGTGACTGTAGTTTCATAATCCTATAGCCATGGCCATACCGCGTGTGGCTTGTGGTGGCTATTGGTCAGTGTGACCGTTTCCTTTGTTTGGCGCGCCCGCCCGGATATTTAAATTTGAATATTTCCATTTAACTTAAATTTATTTCGGCTTCTTGCCTTTGAACTTATAATTATTTCGGCTTCTTGCCTTTGTACGGTATTGAACTTATAACTATTTCGGCTTCTTGCCTACTTAACGACTATCTATAGCTACTGCTTATGTTATTATATTTACTTTGTGCGCTACTGAGCGTCACACGGTGGCCCCAGCGGTCGTCGCAGTGCAGAGACAAGGAGGGAAGCGGTGCGTCCTGGTGCAGCAGGGCAGCCGCACGTTCCGATTGCGGATCGGACCCGTAGGAGTCAGGGTGTTCACACAATAATAAAAAAAAAAGAAAAAGAAAAACACATAAGCCACATTTGCATTGGTACGGGGTCAAAACAAGCACACACGCAGTCAAAGAAAAAAAAACACACACAAAAAAAAGGGTGTATATTTCCAGATTCGTAAGAAACAAAAAACTTGAAGAAAGAAAAAAGGAAGTTAGTAGGAATTATGAAAACAGACGGCTTACTTACACATTAAGTGGGCGAGGGGTCCAACCAAAAGGGGGGGGGTGCGAAAAACGCGTCGTCCAAGTTGTGGTGGTGTGCATTTTGCCAGATTCGGGCAATGAAAAGGTTGAAAGAAGGAAAGAAAAAGTTGGCACGAGCTATGAAAACAAACGGCTCACTTACAAGAAATCGGCGAAGGGTCCAACCGAGCGGGGGGGATGCAAAAGAAAACGCATCACACTCTTCTTCGGGTCCAATACGCGGCATCTACACTACTTGCTAGCGTAATTTTCCATAAGTTATTCACCATCAAAGCTCGAGATCATATCGTCCTCTCGATCACTCTCAACGATTGGCCTAGTGGCGTGCCAATTTTAAGAGTGGGTTTCGTTTTGGTTGCGTGTGTGTGTGTGGTGTGTTAGAGATGTGCGCGCTGATAACTTATCGAATATTTATATATAACTTATTTAATCTAAACTTAATTAAACGTTTCCAGCTGGCATTCATGATTTTGGCTTTTATGGAATGAAAACTTAACAGATATATTTTTGTGGGGGACCCAGGCTCCTTACATTCCCCTTCTACTTTGGGGAACGTTTTGAGAGGGCGATCTTGCCCCGCTTGTTAATTTGGACTCGAAACTCCACTGATCCGGCTCAGAATAAAAATCTCCTGTCGGCTCGCCGGCCGTTATGTTCTTGTGCAGCTAGGTGCTCCAACAGGGATCGGGGTATATGCCTCGCGCCCATTCAATTTCTCCAATGGGATGGAGGTAAGACTCGTTTCTCGTCGGGGAATCCATTTCTTGTCGCTGACCCGTCCAGCCTCATTCGTGAGGCCTGGCTTCTAGAAGCGACCGGCTCCTCGGGAGTACCATGCAGTTTGATGCCCGCCTCCATCCGTGGTGGAACCCTCGTTTCGGTCTTCGGGCAGGTCCAGTGAGGGAGTGCGGTCGCCTTCTCCCAGTCGCCCATTTCCATTTGGATGGACTAATGTTGCCTGGGTCCTCGTTTCAGACAACGTGGCTGTTCAGACCAGAGTCACCTGAAGATGGGGCCTAAGGGCTGCTGATCACTCCTACAGCCATGTCCAGCTGAGGTGAAGGGCCGCTGTTCGTGGTGGAGTGGTTGGCTGGGACTCGGAGGTGAGAGCGAAAAATCCCTCAGCTAAGATAGGGCTCTCAAACTCGCGCCAATGTTCCGTCAAATACGACTGGGTTAAAATATTTTGGTTCGCTAGGGGAATGGGAGTCGGTGCTCGAGGTGCCGTTGTCTCTCCTGCCTCATCGTCTTTGCCCCAGAAGAAGTCGAGTAGGACTCCATTGGACAGTCGGCCAGTGTGTTCATGAGCCCGACGGTCTGGATTCTCCACAGAAGTGGCGACTCACGTGGCTGTCCGATCCGCTGCCTTCCAGGTGCCCATTGTTACCACCCTCTACCACCCTCGTCGTCGTGCTCCAGGCTGGGACACGGTTCGATGGCCTTCTCCACACATCGCACTAAGTGCCACTAATGTGTGGGGTCACCAGCTGACATATGTATATTAAACTGTAAATGTAAATTAAACTGTTAAGCGTTAAGAAAGAGAAAGAATATAGAACAAAAGAAACTAAGCAACGAGTTATTTGTGGTTCCTTTTATTTGCATAATTGAGAACGAGAGAAAGTGTCGTCTCATCCGACTGTGGCGCGGTCGCGTGTTGGTTGCCTTTGAGAGGGAGAGAGAGAGAGAGAGAGAGAGAGAGATCAAAATGGAATGGACAATTGGATGAGGCAATGCTGCATGGCGCGTGCCATGGTGAAGAAGGAAGAAAAGGCAGTTTGCTCTGACATCTAAGATAGAGAAGTACACGTTGACCGCGACTCACTGCGTATCAGTACCAAAATGCAACGGGAAGAACAAGAAAAGTTTCAGCCTCTGACATCAGAAGTGGGATCGGCTCAGGCCCAGCGTGATAGTGAATGGCGATCGCTGTTAGAAGCACAAAATCTACGATTTATTGAAATACAAAAAACAATGCAGCAGCCTGCTTCAACAAATTCAAGTGAAAAATTGATTAGATTGCCAAAGTTCAATCCAGACGTGGCTGAAGCTGACGCCAGCGCCTGGCGCACAACAGCCGATATGATTTTCACGGAGCATCCCCTGGAAGGCAGTGCGCTAGTTATGTCGCTGAGCGAAGCACTAGAAGGGAGCGTTTCCCAATGGCTGGCACAGATCAGCTATGCTGGCATAACCTGGCCAAAATTCCAAGAACTATTTGTTCTTCGCTACGACGACTCCGAGACGCCGGCCGCCATCTTGTTAAATTTTCTCAACGGAGGGCCGGAAACAGGCGAGTGCTTGTCAGCATATGGTAGCCGATTAGCGATGGACATCAAGGAGATAGCTGTCTCTTTCGTAGTTGCACACATGTCGCAAACCAACACTAGACTGCAGCGTCTACTGTTTACCATCAATATAACGAACAGAAATGAACTTCAGCAGCAGTTGAAGGCGTATGCGTACAGAAAGCAAAGTGAACATCTGGCTTCAGAGGATTCGATCGGCCCCGACAGGAAGAGATTCAAGGCAAACACATCAATGAAGTGCCATTACTGTGGAATTTCCGGACACAAAATGCTGGAATGCCGTAAGAGGTAGGCAGAACAATCAAAACCAAGTCAATCGTTTGGAAAACCACTGGCGGGACGAGACAGGACTGGAGTGACTTGCTTTAAATGTGAAATCGTCGGTCACATTACATCCGCATGTATGAAGGGGACAGCAGCAACGAGTAGCAGAATTAACGAGAAGCGAGTAGATGTCTGTGCAGTGTTAGAGCCCAAAGGAATTTTATGTCAATTTGGTGAGGCCTTTCCATTCTTTTCCGACTCGAGTGCCGAGTGCTCCTTGATGAAGGCAAAGCTAGCAGAGAAATTCGCGGGAAAAAGACTTAATAATTTAGTCATTCTAAAAGGAATTGGCACAAATACTGTACACTGTAATTTACAAATACTGTCCACCATACAAATTTGTCAATTTAATTTGGAAATCATGTTTAATGTAGTTGAAGACGAGTATTTGAAACATGACATAATGATTGGTCGTGAAATCTTGGCACTAGACTTTGGTATAACGATGGATGCTGATAAATTTAATATTTTTAAAACTAAAGTAGTCAATTCAATATCTGATGAAACTATTATAAGTTATGTTGAGCTATTTGATAAAAATTATGATTTAAGTGATATTGATACATACACTGAACATTTTATTATTGGAATACCGAGCAGACGTGTCACGACTGGAGAATTAGAAATGCCAACAAGAATTAGGATGCCAACAAGACTGTGCAAAGACGCCCATATCGGGTTGGCGTAGATGAGAAAGAAATGTTGGCAGTAAATGTAATTCGTCCAAGTAATTCTCCATTCGCGAGTCCAATTTTGTTAGTGAAAAAGAAAGATGGCAGTGATCGGTTGTGCATAGACTATAGAGAGCTAAATGCAAATACAGTGGCTGACAAATAATCATTGCCTCTAATATCAGATCAAGTGAACAGACTGCCTGGGGGTAAATACTTCTCTTGCTTAGATATGGCTAGTGGGTTTTATCAGATTCCTATAAATGCAGGATCCATAGAGCGAACCGCTTTTGTAACCCCTGAGGGCCAGTATGAGTTTCTATCCATGCCATTTGTGCTGAAGAATGACCATTCTATTTTTCAGCGTGCTATAGCGCGAGCACTAGGTGACTTGGCGTACTCCTATGCAATTGCTTACATTGATGATGTAGTAATAGTAGCGAGGGCTAAAGAGGAAGCATTTGAAAGACTGACAGTCGTGCTGGGGGTTCTATCGGAAGCAGGATTTTCATTTAATATAAAAAAATGCTCTTTTCTGAAAACCGAAATAGAATATCTTGGCTACTTGGTCAAGGACGGTAGTATTGAACCAAATCCGCGAAAAATACAAGCTCTGGCTGGCTTCGTTTGGTAATCAGAGCATGAAGAACTACGTCAAAAAATTATCTCAGTACTAACAGATGCAAGTGCAAGTGGATATGGTGCCATTCTCATGCACAAAATAGACGGTAAGCCTAAAGTGTTCGAATATTTTAGCAAATGTACATCGTCCCCAGAATCGAGATATCATTCTTACGAACTAGAGACCCTCGCAGTATACAACGCTGTAAAAAGTTTCCGCCATTACCTTCACGGTCGAAAGTTTGTAGTATTTACAGACTGTAATTCATTAAAGGCAAGTCGAACTAAAGTAGAATTAACGCCAGAGTACACCGTTGGGCATATTTACAATCATTTGACTTCACTGTAGAGTACCGCAATGGAAACCGTATGGCGCACGTGGACTTTTTATCCAGAAATCCGATTGTCACTGAATGTGAAACAATGAATAGGATACCCGAAGTTCGCATCGACTTAACAGAGGTGACAGACAACTGGCTTTTAGCTGAGCAGCATCGTGATTCGTGCTTAAGGGAAAGTATAGCCCAGTTGAATGGTGGAGAGGTGCAGGAGAGTTTAGCGAAGTCGTATGAGTTAATGGTATGAGTAAATGAAATGGAAAGACACGCTGTTTACCTGTAATCCCAAGAGCCTTTAGGTGGTCTGTAGTAAACCATGTCCATGAAGCAATTATGCATTTGGGGTGGCAGAAAACGTTAGGTTAGGTTAGGTTTACGATCAGTATTGGTTCGAGCACATGCCCAAGTACGTACGAAAATTCGTAGAGAACTGCATAACATGCAAGCTGGCAAAGGTTTCAGCAGGTAAAATTCAAATGGAACAGCATCCAATTCCGAATGTTAAGATACCTTGGCACACTGTGCATATTGATATTAGTGGAAAGTTGAGTGGTAAAAATGATACCAAGGAATATGTCATAGTACAAATATACGCATTTACTAAATATGTTCACTTGTATCATACTTTGTATTTAGATGC